GGCCTTGCTCCCTACTACCTCTCCGACCTACTATGCCCCTATTTACCTGCCCGTACCCTCCGTTCCTCTGGCTCCGGTCTGCTCCACATCCCCTGCCCCAACCGCCCTACCATCGGTGGCCGGGCCTTCGGCCTCTCAGCCCCTAGGCTCTGGAACTCTATTCCCCAGTGCCTTCGCTGCCTCCTCCTTTTCCTCCTTCAAGGCCGGTCTCAAGACCTTTCTCTTTGACTGTGCCTTCAGCTCCCCTCTCGACTCTCTACCCCCTCCTCGCTCCCTCCCTTCCCTCACCCTGACCATTCCCCCCCTGCTCGGGTCCTGACCCAACTGTACAGCGCCTTGGGACGTCCTCCCGACGTGAAAGGCGCTCCATAAATGGAATCTTGTTGTTGTTGAATAGCAATGACAAGCTATGCTAGCAGGGTTATTGAATACAAGATCAAGGAGATAATTCATATGGGAATTAGATAAGATGCAGCTGGAGTATTTTGTTTGGATTTGGAAACTTATCTTATACAAAATACATCACAACGCTTAGAAAATGAATGAAGTAAGTTCTCTATGATGATACCAGGGATGAAAAGCTATACTTATTTGAAGAGACTTAAAAAGTGGGGATAGTTTGTGCAGGAAGAGTTAATGGGACCTGTTGAAGGTTTTCAAAATGATGAATTTTTTAATAGAGTAAGTCAAGACAAACTTTTCCACTGATCATTTAGTCAACAACATGCCATACATTACAGAAGAAAGAGGGGAGGTTAGAAGAATGTTTTGTACATTGGGTTATGAGGATGGGGAATACATTACCACAAAAGAAGCCAAGCCCAGCACAACAATGGAAATTTGAATGGAACTGGGTAATAACTGGATAATAACGTGAGTTAAAATAATATGAAGCGGTATGCAGAAAGAGCAGAGGAATGAATTTAGTAGATAGCTCCAGTGGAGAGCACCAGCCCACAGATGATGGGTTGAATGGCTCATGGCCTCCTTCAGTCCTTCAGTGCTATAAGTTTTCCATGATTCTAGGAATTTATTTGTGTGAATCAGTACTAGGTGTTTCAGCAATAAAATAGATCTAGTTTGTTCCTATTACCGCCAAACCCCTTCCCATAGAAGATGTCCATGCTGGAGTACAATTACATAAGCTGTGACAGACTTCTGATACATTGACTACATGGCCATGATTCATGTGTGCAATACTGTTTGACTCTTTGTCTGCCAGACCTGTCATCAGACGTTGGTCTCATTTAATTGCCACATTCCACTTCCAGGAGAATTTGTTTTACTCAGCCGGGTGTTTGAAATATGGGAAAACCCATTGCCATGCTTAAAAATAACCACATCAGACTGTGAGTTCCATCTACGCATGGAAATTTCATCCTGGCTGGAATGCAACGAACACTATCTCCCCGGAGAAAAGCATCCTATAGTCACTGAATCTGTCTGCTGCTAATTATTGTGCTGATTCTCAGCAATATTGTGACATTTGAGAAGAAATCTCAGCCTATACATTTGCAATGAGGTTTATTTATATTTTCTTCATTATCTTCCTCCCCACTTTTTTTTCTTCCCTCTTTTCTCGAAGGTGGTGAATCATCCAGTGAAGTCCATCACAATGCAGCACGTTGGCCATTAGTCATGTGCAAACTTAGATACAAAGTGTTGGTAAATTATACACTAAAGGGCTTTCATACCCAAGCCTGATTGTGTCCTCAATTGCAATCCATTCACATACAGGTTGCAGCAGTGCATCATTGTGCACACATCAGGATGACGAGCAATGGCTGATTATTCCTCTCCTGAGATTGGGAGCATCAAGCACCTATTCCAAAAATAGGCTCAGATTGGTGAGAGCCAAGGCTTGTGGATCCCAGAGTGTGCTTCTTTTACTGCAGCAGTTTAACCAACTAAAACTGTATAGCTCGCCATTGAGAGCACAATCTGATAAGCTTCCCGCAGATGATGAGATAGGGTTTTGTTTGCTATTCCATTGCCAAACATGTCACCTTGGAGTCAGCTCAGCTCTAAGGAGACTGTGCTTCGCCCAAAGGACAATAATCATCAAAAGTCCCAGATACACCAATCACTTCAATACAATATAAATTCCATTTATTTAGCACCTTTCACATTGGGAGGATGTCTCAAAGCAATTGACACTGCTAGCTGAGTATCTGAGCTGGGGGTGGTAGCTGAAGTGGGTAGGGAGGGGAAACATAACCCAAAGTGCAGTCAATGAAGTCAATCACTAGCTAATAATCCACTCTTTACCCCAGGACCAGGAATGTTATCTTTAATTATAGCATCCCACCACCACTACAACAACAGCAACAACAAAATTACATTTGTAAAAAGTCTTTCATGTCAAGAGGACGTCCCAAGGCGCTGAAAAGTCAGGGATCAGGACCCAAGAGTGGGGGCAGTGTTGGGATGAGGAGTCCAGAGGGGGCAGGAGGGTGGCTGAAGGCTCAGTCAAAAAAGTGGGTCTTGAATCATGCCTTGAAGGAGGCAAGAGAGTGAGCAAGGCAAAGGGATTGTGGGATGGAGATCCAAAGAGCGGGGGCAGAGAGGCTGAAAGCCCGGCCGCTGATGGTAGGGCGGGAGACTTGGAGCAGGTTGGAGGCTGCTGAGTGGAGGGAGCAGGCAGGTTGATAGGGGTCAGCAGGTTAGAGATGTAGGAGGGGGCAAGACCATGGAGGGCCTTGAAGATGAGGATGAGGATTTTGAATTCTATCCTCTGAGGGATGGGGAGCCAATGGAGCCGGGCGAGGGTGGGGGTGATGGGGTCACAGAACCTGGCGCGGGAGGGGACATGAGCTGCAGAGTTCTGATGATCTGCAGTTTATGGAGGGAAGAGTTCGGGAGGCTGATAAGGAGGGAGTTTCCGTAGTCGAGCCTTGAGGTGACGAATGCATGTATGAGGGTTTCGGCGGCTTAAGGGGTGAAGCAATGGTGGAATCAGGCAATGTTGCGGAGGTGGGGGAAGGCAGAGCGGATCATGGCACAGATATGGAGGAAAGGACAGTTGAGGGTCGAACAACAGAATTTTACGAACAGTTTGAAAGTGAATGATCGATTTTAATGGGAGATTGTTGGCCAGAATACAAGGAGAAACTCTATTCTCTTTTCAAATAGTGCCATGGGATCTTTAACTTCCAGGCAGCCAGGACCTTGGTTTAAAGTCCCATCTGAAGAATGCCACCTCCCAACAATATAGCACACCCACACTGCAGTGGAGGGTAATCCAACGCTATATGGGTTCAAAGCTATAGGGTTCAAAGCCCAAATGTGGGGTTTGAACCCACAACCTTTTGACTTGGAGGTGAGAATTCTATCAATCGACCCATTGACTCAGCTAAACTCAAGCACAACTAACTTAATTGTAGTAAATCGATAAACTGAATATGTAATGATAAGAAAACATTGATATAACAACATGAAGGAACAACCGAGAATCATTCACTAGATTTTGTTCACAATTGGAATTGAAATGTCTCTCAAATTTCAGATTTTTTTTCTCTAAAATGAAGTGTTTCTAATTTTTTGTTTTCTCATAATAACATTTTAAATTTTCATTTACTTTTTAAGAATACAAAAGGAACTTGTATTTATGTAGTGGCTCAAGGACTTCAAAAATTATTTATCTGGGCTGATTGCTAACATCCTACTACCATGCGTAGAGTATATATTGGAGGAGTTTGAGAGGTGAGTTAAATGCTCCGAGACACCATCCGCGTGAAGGGTGCTACGTAAAATGCAAGTTGTTGTTGTTACCAATATCTCCATGTTTGGTCTCATTTCTGTAGAAAGAAAACAACTTGTTTCAATGGTTCACGTGCTTCTGTGATCACATAGTCATTGAATCATCAGAGATGCTTATCTTTAGAAATAATCTTTATTAAAATGTGTGCAACATAAACTGGTTCAAATGAATGGGTATCTTCATTTTCGTACAAATAAAATAGTTATTAAGAGGAATGGGTATAAAGTTGTGAATAAATAGTCTTTATTAATAACCATACAACTTACAAATACGAAGTAAGCTTCAAGGTACTGGACACATTTTGATTGCCCTACTACTCTTTAGATCTTTGGCTTGCAGAGTTGAAGTCATGTCCACACCTTCAGGGATCACTGATGAGCTGGACAGCTGGTGGTTCTTCAGTAATGTCTTGGCTTTAACAAACATACCAATCGGAGCTAATTCCATCTCAGGAAACCTTACTTAAATCCCTCTCCCCTCCCTCAGCTAAAAGGATATATTATTTAAAAGGCATACGATACTCATTTGATCAACATCGAAAGGCTGAAAGCAATGAATTCACGGAGATAAAATCCCACATCCTTCTGGTCTAAAGTCCAGAGATTCATCCACAGAAGTTGTCCGGGACATCAATCAAAATAAATAAATGAAATTGTACATTCCTTCACCAAAAAAACCATAAATATTCACTGGATGATATCCAGTATTGGATATCCAATATTGGATATCGCAGTTATAAGATTTGATTTAATACTGAGTAAATATTAAAGCAGTGTAGTGTTACGTTATTTCACATTGGCAGTATATTGCACCCTTAATTGACAGCGTCAAACTCAAATAATTTTAAGCATTAATGGACAAGGAAGAAAGACAATTTAGTAATCCTAATAATAATCCTTGCATTTTGTAGGGTGCCTTTCACATCAGGAGGATTTTCTCAAAATGATACACAGGATTTTCCACAAAGTGTAGCGACTGTGCAGTTTATAGGTGAACTTGATTCAAGCTGAACAACCTAACTTGATCTTTGCAAGCAAAGGCAGGACAAAACCTTGGGCAAGTTTCCTTACTCCACACGCCCATAATCCCTCACCAAAAAAATGCTTTTAAAAAAAGTGGTCACTTTAATGCATGACTGTTTGTGGGACACTGGTGTGTGCAATTGGCTGCTGCATTTCGCCCACAAATATATAATGAATTCACTTTACAGTATATTCTGTGAAGCGCGTTGAGACATCTAGAAGATGTGAAAACGCGCGATATCAAATGCAAGGATTATTATTATTGCTGGCCTCAACTGTAACATACCTTCTCACTGCAGTGACACATCAGTAATATTTTCCTTCAAGATTACAGTTACCAGGTCTGTTTTGCTTTCCCTTGACATCTGGAATCCTCTGCTGTTTGGATTGGCGGCAGCAATGTACTTCATTTAAACGTGTAGTCATAGTTTACTTGCATAACATTTCTGCTCCAAACAATGTAACCTCAAAGTTCCTGACAGGACTGGTGGACACAGTATTGGCAAGTGTTGTTTCCCAACATGCCGATCCAAGCAAACTAAACCGCCAGTTCCTTAAGGAGTCTAAACAAACAATTTTCTAAGGAAAATCAAACGCATGCATACAGAAACATCAGGTAAGAGATAAAACTACACCCATTTAAAATTGAATTACCACTGAAAACATTTAAACCGAATCTACCCAAACGTACAGATGTCCCACATCATTTTGTTTTGGTCAACCCAGGGCCTGACATATGTGGAAACCCATCACCATCATCATTTTTAAGATTACCCGAACAAGAATGAACACTTGGATATACCTGTGTCTGAAATGCAATGCACACTCTCTCCTAAAGAAAGGCATTCTGTTCACTTAATTCCAGAGTATTAAGCAGGGGTTGGCAAGACCCAAGTCTTGGGGGCCCCAAAGCATGTATTGGGGTAGTGCTATAATTTAACAAGCTAAAACAGCATTCTTACAGCCTACAGTTTTGTAAATAACTTCAAATCTAGTAGCTTTAATGACTTCACATAGAGGTTTGTCCCTGTTTATAACAAGGTTATAGTCTGAGCTGTGGCTCAGGCACTCTTCAGGTCCTCAGCTCAGCTTTCTCATCAGTAAACTGGCTTTGCTTTTGTTGGACATCTCCGGCAGAGAGGACCTGAGAGAGCTTGATATCCTGCTCCTCCTTAGGGGATTTGTACTTGCTCGATGCTTGCCATTTCCCACGTTTTTTGAGCAGGTGATGTCCCAGACAGGCCAGCACCAAAACCACCACTGCGATGGAGAAGATGATGCCGAGGAGAGCCGCGAGTGTGATGTGAGCGCCTGCTATTACAGTGCGGTTCGTGGGCGATGATGGTGTGGGAACTCTCTCAGTAATCTCTCTGCTGCCTGATCCGTCTTCATCTTGTTCTTCACACGATTTCCCGTCCTCCTTGAGCTGTGATCCCAGTGGGCAGGTGCATGTGTAAGTCCCACCTGAGTTGATGCAGTCATACTCACACTCGGTATTCTCACACAGTATCTTAACACATGTATTACTGTTGGCTAAAATATATCCTTCAGGGCAGTGATACCCGTCTACATTTTTATGGGGTTTGCATTCAGGGGTGTGACAGGAAAGCACACACTTAGTGAAGTCATCAGCAGGAGGGTGAAAGTCGGAGTAACAGGAGCAAGTGAAGCTGCCGAGGGTGTTCCCACACTTGTGGGCACAGGGAAATGCCGCGCTGCTGCACTCGTTGATGTCCTCACATGTGTGGGCGTCGGTTTTACGGTAACCGGTGGGACAGTGACAGGAGAAGCTTCCCGGTGTGTTGCTGCAGATCTCATCGCCTGCACACGGTTTCCTTAAACATTCGTCGATCTCGTTGCAGCTTCTGCCGTCCTCGTCCAGTTCATAGCCATCTCGACACGTGCAAAACACGGCGCCAGAGCGGTCCACGCACAGATAGTGACAGGACGGCCCTCTGCAGTGCTCAATGATGGAGCAGTCCCGCTGGTCCCGCTTCAGCTCATATTCCGGGCGGCAGCGACACCGGGAATAGGCATCGCCGTCCACCTCACATTCCCAGGGACCGGGGGTTTGGGAATTCCAGCTCCAAACACCAAACACCTTGTCCACGCACTCGAGTCGCAATCCCGAGGGGGAAAGCGAGGCGATGGTTTGCGGGGGGACGTGTGACAGATCGGAGCTCTCTGCGCCGAAAGGAGTCCTGTACACCACTGAGCCGCCCGCGATGTGCAGCTCCGGACACATCCCGTCGCTATAGTCGACCTCACACACTATCCCGTCCGCCTTCACGTTGCACGGACGGTCCTCCCAAGTCAGGTCTCTGGACACGGTCACACAGCGCGATCCGCAGTCCGGAGACACGGACTTCCAGTTGCTGTAGACGGTGTCGGTGTCGCCGTCCATCCACTGGTAACCCCTCAGCTCTGTGTCGTTGTTGGGACACTTCTTACGGTGCAGTTGTAATCCGATCCAAAAGTTGGTGCCCCGAACGGCAGCGCTTTGCAGTAACTGCGAGAGGGCTTCGGCGGCCTCCGCGGACCGGACGGTCATTGCATCGCTGTTTCTGTCGATGCAGAGGTTTCTGGCCATGTTAAACTTTCTGCTTTCCTGTTGCAAAATGTAACAGAAGTCTCTGATGCACACAGTCCGCACCGCGTCCTTCTGGTGGTCCCCTGTTCCTTGCGAGTGCACCAACTGTGCCAATGCGATGGCGGAGAGCAGCAGCGCGGACACCCCACTGACCATGGCCGGGGCTGTGCGGGACTGCCCGGTGTGGCGGGGGGCGGGGGGGGGGCGGGGGGCGGGGGGGGGCTCTCGGGTGGGAGGGGAGCGGAGCGGAGGGGGTGTTCGCTCACCGGCAAAGACTGTGGTGCATTCGCTCCGAGCGGTTTCTCGGGCGCTGTTTGATATATATAAAACAAAACCAGTTCGCAGCTCAGGTTTAAATACCCCCCCGGGGGCCCTCCCCGCGGGAACAAGGAAGTTCGTAAGAGTCGGGACGAAATGATGCGATCGCTTTGGCGGTGCGCGCACGGCCGCCAACTTCCACAAACTGGGAATGGGTCAGTGTCTCCGCCACTGGGGTGGGGCTGGGGGGGTGCTGGGGGGGGGGTGGGGAGGGGGGGGGGGGGGGGGGGGGGGGGTGGGGGGGGGGGGGGGGGGGGGGGGGGGGGGGGGGGGGGGGGGGGGGGGGGGGGGGGGGGGGGGGGGGGGGGGGGGGGGGGTGGGGGTGGGGGGGGGGGTGGGGGTGGGGTGGGGGTGGGGGGGGGGGGGTGGGGGGGGGGGGGTGGGGGTGGGGGGGGGGGGTGGGGGTGGGGGTGGGTGGGGGTGGGGGCTTGGGGTGGGGGGCTGGGGGTGGGGGGGTGGGGGGGTGGGGGGCTGGGGGTGGGGGTGGGGGGGGGGGGGGGGGGGGGGGTGGGGGTGGGGGGGCTGGGGGGGGTGGGGAGGGTGGGGGTGGGGTGGGGGGGGGGGGGGGGGGGGGGGGGTGGGGAGGGTGGGGCTGGGGGTGGGGGAGGGTGGGGGTGGGGGCTGGGGAGGGTGGGGGCTGGGGGCTGGGGGGGGCTGGGGGCTGGGGGTGGGGGGGGGGGGGCTGGGGGGGGGAGGGGGGGGGGGGGGGGGGGGGGGGGGGGCGGGGGGGGGGGGGGGGGGGCTGGGGGGGGGGGGGGGGGTGGGGGAGGGGCTGGGGGTGGGGTGGTGGGGAGGGTGAGGGCTGGGGAGGTGAGGGCTGGGGTGGGGGGGTGGGGGGTGGGGGGGGTGCTGGGGGGTGGGGCTGGGGGTGGGGGGGTGGGGGCTGGGGGTGGGGGGTGGGGGGGGGGCTGGGGGTGGGGAGGGTGAGGCTGGGGGTGGGGGGTGGAGGGTGGGGGCTGGGGGTTGGAGGGTGGGGTCTGGGGGTGGGGAGGGTGGCGTCTGGGGGTGGGGAGGGTGGGGGCTTGGGGCATGGGGCTGGGGGTGGGGAGGGTAGGGGGGGCTGGGGAGGGTGAGGGCTGGGGAGGGTGAGGGTGGGGTGGGAGGGTGGGGGGTGGGGGTGGGGGTGGGGAGGGTGGGGGTGGGGCTGGGGGAGGGTGGGGGGGGGTGGGGGTGGGGAGGGTGGGGCTGGGGCTGGGGAGGGTGAGGGCTGGGGGGGGCTGGGGGTGGGGAGGGTGGGGGCTGGGGGTGGGGAGGGCTGAGGCTGGGGGTGGGGAGGTTGGGGGGTGGGTGGTGGGGGTGGGGAGGGTGGGGGATCCGCAGTTGTTTTGGGAAGGAAATCAAGGCTGAACAGGATGCATCACCTCACCTCCCTCCTCCGTTCACCTCCTCAACCATAGACGACACCCCACTTGGCTGCACCCTCTTCCTTCCCCCCCACCCTCCCTCCTCAGTTCTCCAGCATTCCTTCCGGGTCTTTTGTTACTGTTCCCCACCCCCACCCCACCCCCATCCCCCACCACACCACACCCCCCACCACACCCCTCACACACCGCTTTGCTGCCATTTCTCCCTTGTCCATTGCAACCATCACCCCCCACCCCTCACCCTCACCCCCATGTGTGGGCATCTGGAACCTCCCCCTACCCACTTGCTGACAGAGACAGCTGTGCTCCTCTGCCCCCTACTGGCAGATACCGTTAACCTCTTCTTGGGCACCAGGATGCCTCAAAACCTCTGTCATCTCCCCTCTCCTAAGATAAACCTCCCTTGATTGTTCAAAATTTCCAGCCCATTTCAAACTTGCCCTTCATCTCCAAAGTCCTGGAACTTTGCTCAACTCTAACCAACTCTACTTGCCACTCAAGGCCCCCCAGTTTGCTTTAATGCCCTGCCCACAATGATGTCCTCTTTCTCTATGATCAGAGCTCCATATGCTTCTCGTTGCCTTCTGGATCTCTCTGCTGCCTTTCAACCCACAACTGTCCTTCCTTCCCCACGTCCAGTCCCTTCCTCCATCTACACCACATTGCCCGCTTCTGACCCTACCTTACCCCAGACGCAACCAAAACACTCGTCCGTGCGTTCGTCACCCTGACTCAACTTCTCAAATGGCCTTTTTGCCAGTCTCACCAGCTCCACCATGCACAGGATTCAGCTGATCCAAAACTCCACCGCCAGCATACTCACCCATACTAAACTCTGTACCCCATCACACCAGTTCTAGCCAGGTTCCAATGACTCCCTATCGACAAGTGGATCGATTTCAAGATCCTCACACTCACATCATCACAGCATACCCTGGCAGCTCCCTACCTCTCCGACCTGCTTACAGCCCACTCATCTACCCTTCCCTTCGCTCAGCTGGCTTCATTCTCCTGCATTTCCCTCAAACCCTCTGTTCCACCAACAGTTGTGCTTTCAGCCACTAATACCCAAGGCTCTGGAACTCTATGCCTCAATCCCTACGTCTTGCCCCCTCGTTTCCTGTCTTCAGATCACAGGATCTTCCTCTTCAATCGTGCCTAAGATCAATGACAAATTAATCTAGGGATTTGGTGGACAGAGAAATTCCAATGTTTTTCCAATAATGTTAACGGATCTTTAACACACCCTTGAAATGGCAAGCAGGACTGCAGTTCATCAACACATCCAAATAAGTGCACAATTCAGCCTTCCCCTGTACTGAGCTGCAAATTGTTAATGTCCACTTGAGGATAAGCAGAGAGTTTAACATCTCATCTGAAGCACTGCAGTGCTCCCGAGCACTGAATGTTCTCTCAGACTATACATTTTACATTGGGTGATGGCAAAATGAATGCATGTGCATTTTAGGTAATGCATATTGGTGAGTACAATAAATCGTGTTCTAATCCCCACCACCATTGTATATTGAAAAATGTAAGAGCACAGAAGATTAGAATTCCTTTAACCAGCTTCATGGCACATAGAGGGGACCCAAACTAAGTGACAGCAGTTCCCTTACCTGCTCATATCCAGATTTTCCAAAAATCCCTTTTAATTAATGGTGAATCCTGAATTTAGCTGTCATCCTTATCATTGAATAATCCTGGCATTTGCAAGAACCAATGTCCAATACAATATTTTGCTGTGTTTATACCTGTCTTTGAAGATTGAATGAAAGTTCTCTGGAAGCCTGTTCCACCATATAATATCTGTTTCACCATATAATAGCCATAGTGCTCATCATCCCACAGTCTGTTCTATCCTATTAATCATCAACATGCTCATAGGCCTCCAGCAGGGGTCATTGGAACTGTGGGAAATTTGAACCTACAGAACATTATAATAATAATCCTTGCATTTGATATTGTGCCTTATCACGTTGTTGAGACATCTCAAAGAGCTTCACAGAATACACTGTAAAGTGAATTGTGGGCAAAATCTGGCAGCCAGTCCCACAAACAGTTGTGGATTGAGTGATCAAATTATTAGTATTATTATATTTTGAAGGGAGTATTTCCCCCGGAAATTGATCTGCCAATCAACTAACAACTGGGTTCCTACTTACTGCTACATTTCTACATAAACTGTATATTTTATCATAGGTCAATGTTCAAAGAGTTATTGATAACCTGTATAATCGTGTGGCAGATCATGCAGTGCAATAAGCTAGAAAGGAGTTTTATGTTTATAACATTGTATGTCAAAACATCAAAAACATGTCACAAGTAATTAATGCTAAGCGTAATGACTGTTTTTGTAGAATAATGTGGCTGCGATTTGCATCAACACGGTCCGCCAAATGACCATGAAGTGATTGCCCAATTTTATCTGGAGAATTTTGGCAAGGATACTGGGAGAAAGTGCCCTCTCTTTTTGATTAGTGTCATGAGCTCTTTGAGTTCCACTTGAACAAGTAGATGGGGTTTGGGTTTAACATCTCATCCAAAAGTTGGCACTTTCGAAAATACAAACCATCTGAACTAAGATGACTGAGTTCATTGCCAATACATTAGTTTTGATCAACTGGGTGTCACATGCGGAAACACAACACCATGCTTAAGAGTATCTAAACCAGACTGAGAGTTCCACATATGCATGTCACCTAAGCTTCGAAATTTCTGTGTGTCTGGAATGGAATGTGCATTCGCCAATATGTACATTGCTATGTTCCTTTATTTAGGGATGTTAGAAATGAATTTCAAATACTTTGGCCAATTTTATTATATCTATTTTATTATATCTATTTTATTGTATCTGAAATAAGACCATGACTTGCTTTAACAATTTATGCACTTTTTATTTTTTTGTTCAATTTTAATTTATTCAGTTACATGATTCACAACATGTCTGAGACAGAGTCCATGACAGAAGCCTTAAAGAGTAACTTACAGATAACCCCAGTGACGAGTTCTTGTGAATGCTTCTAACAGGTGTGTATGTTCCATCTGTGAATAACCCCTTTGTAAGGGCCTGATGGAGGCTTAGCTGTTCTACCATGCCCTTAATCTGTTAAGGTGGATGCCTGGCCAACATAACAGTGGCAATATACCAGTTAGTAGGGCAGGTAGAATTCTTGTGATCAGAAGTGAATTATTAAGATGTGCTCAGATCAGAAGTGAATTATTAAAAAGGTTTTAGTTACGTATACTGATGTTTATGCTTGTTACCTAGTGTTGAGCTAACCCGCAGAACTACAATCTTAATTATAAAATGTTGTTTTAGTTAAATTGAGCTGAGTTGCAGAATTTCTAAATAAGTGCAATGGGATAAAATAGCATGAGAAGATGTCAATATGCTGGGGAATTCTATTATGAAAAGTTAAATTGATGAAGAAAGAAAAAGGGAATTAGTTATTACAGCTACAGTTTGTT